AGCTTGATTTATCGAAGTTTTACTCATTCTTTCTTATAAAAAGTATTTAAAGAAGGAAAACGCTGCTTTTTTTAAAGAAAAAAATGTTTGTTCAGTTGAATTTATGTTATTTTGTTTGTTTAAGAAATGTTTATGAAATATATTGTTTTGAAATGAACCTATCAAACGTGTTCTTTTTTTTCGAATTTACCTTCCATTCACCATTCACCTCGATTCTTCTTTACACAGTTTTTTGTTTACTCTCTTCAAATATGCATTCGACTCGAGCAACTCAACTCAATTCTAAATTACCTTCATAAAGTACCACATCACCACAATCCTATCACAAACATACACATACACACAACTTTCAAATGCTTCCTTACTTATCTCAAGCAGCCACACCGTCTCAATCAATCACTACAACATCGTTAGTAGTCGCTTTCAACTGCCATCGTGTCGTCATCAGACATTCAATTTATTCTCCTCCGAATGATTCATTTATTTGTTTGATTCATCAAATCACATTTTTGTTTTGTTCCCACACATTAGTGGTATAATTTCCAGTTTAAGAGATTTTGCATCACTCAGTGCTGTTGTTTTGACATACGTTTGTATTGAAGGAATGAGTGTTCGATTACAGAAACCTACCAAATTATAGTCATTCCTTTTGCGTGTGTGCAGCAAAAATCATCTGGAATTTATGACATGAACGCGGAATTATCTGCGTTCATGTGAGGTTATTGTATGCAATTGTTCGTTGTAAACGATAACAATGAAAATCGACCGTACAAAACTGTACGCTTTCGTTCTCATGATATAATTGCTTGATTTTATTGCTCTACCCTTTCAGCAATCCATTTGAACATCACTCAGCTCTATTCATTTGTATTCCAGATCGTTTTGATACGTGCGTAACGAATTATTGGATTTAAAATTTTCATGTTAACTAAATGTTTACGAGAGTGTAAATTTAAGGATTCATCCCTTATGCGTATCATATGGACATCGACAAGGCAGCGTAACGAGTTGGTAAACAAAGAAACACAATGGAGCCGTCTGGCTGATGGTGTTACGAATGCAGATGAGGAATGCGATGGTGAT